GCTCTTCTGGCGGCCTCGGCTCTGCTCACACGCTCAGATGGAGACTCCACGTGTCAGGAGCCACAGCAAAGCACGAAGCCTTTGAGCAAGCTGCAGAAGCCAAATTACTCTGCTGCCTCTCATGGATGTGAATACGGCTGTCGCGACACCAGTGCCTATTCTCCCCGTTACTCACACGCTTCCCCCCGTCTCTCTGCAATGCAAAGGAGCATCCACGTCCCCATCCCAGGCAGGACGCGAAGAGGCCGAGCGGCCCAGCCGCGGGGTGGCCCTGCGGCAGCTCCACACACACCACGACGTTGGCCGTGGTGCGCAGAGCCTCCCGGCAGGGGCACTTTGGGGTACTCAGAGGCCACATGAAACGGCTCAACCAGCAGCCCTGGCGACTCGGCCCGGCAGGAGCTCCTGCAGCCCTGAGCTTCCAGGGGGTGCCGCATCCTTGGGAAGTCTCCGCGTTCCATCTGGAGGCCGGGTGCGCCGGAGCCCGGTGTGCGACTGGATGTGCCCTCCCTGTGCCAGAAGCTCATGGAGAGCCATGAGCTGCCGCAGAGCCGTGTCCAGGAAAAGCCAGGACGGCCTCAGAGACAGGGCAGCCGCACCGGCCCACGCAACGCACAGTGTGACCCTCAGCATGGACAGACGGACGGCCCACGGCACGGACAGACAGCGCTCCGCAGTGCTGATACGGGGGTCTCCTTCCCCATACACATTCCCGCAGTGAGCGGGTTCCCAATGCCCCCCGGCTCCACGTGCCTTGGCAGCCAGGGCAGCTCAGGAATCAGCAAAGGTCACGACGGCCGGGGCCGCACGCAGCACCCTGGTGAACACCCGAGGGATTCGCTGTCCAAGAGCACCGGTTACGACCAAGGCCGTTTGATTACCACAGATGGGAACAAACCCACTAATTATTTGTGGCCTCTGCACGCTACCAGGCCATTAAACAATTACAGTAATTGTAGTCCATAAAGAAGATGACCTCAGCCTAACGGAGCTTCTACATTCAAATCCCTTCCACTTCCCAAGCGAGCTGGGAAGGTCTCAAACACTTGCCTCCGCACCGGAAAGATGGGAAAGAAGCTGCAGAAGAGCTTCAGATTCGGGCTCCCGGCTGCTCCTTCCAGAGCCTCCGGAGCATCGGGGGGGCGGGGAGCAGCAGGGCGGGAGAGTTGTCTCCATCTCCCTGGAGCTGCCGCGCGCAGAGCCCGGGCACACGGCTGCTCTCCCGCTGCCGTGGCGAGCACGGGGTCACCCTGATTACTCACACGCGTCCAGCTCACGCTGCGGGCAGGAA